CCATCCATCCGTCCATCCATCCGTCCATCCATCCGTCCATCCATCCGTCCATCCAACCATCCATCCATCCGTCCATCCGTCCATCCGTCCGTCCATCCGTCCATCCGTCCGTCCGTCCGTCCATCCGTCCATCCGTCCATCCGTCCAACCATCCATCCAACCATCCAACCAACCAACCAACCAGCCAACCAGCCAACCAGCCACCCAGCCAACCAACCAACCAATATCTACTGAGCACCTACTCTCCCAGGCTCTTTGCTGAGGATACAGTAGTGCATACAAACAACAAAATGCCTGTCCTTAAATGCCAATTCCTATGATTCTCATTTTGATTTTCTCCTGCCAGAGCACGCCCACTGTGTGGCTCTGATTTTCCTCTCAGTGCTGATGAATCCCAAATCTGGACTTGTAATTCCTCAGAGTTCCAGGGCCTTACGTTGGAATGCCCACTGTTCAGCTCTCTGAGGATTTCCCAACAGAAACTCACCCTCAGAATGCCTGAAACTAAAAGTCATTCTGTTTTGGCAAGTTTTCCTTGACTCCCAGACTGAGTGAGCTGTGTCAGCCATAAGTCTTTTCAATTAAAAAAAATTTTTTTTAATGTTTAGTTTTGAGAGAGAGAAAGAGAGCACAAGCCTGGGAGGGGCAGAGAGAGAGGGAGACACAGAATCAGAAGTAGGTTCCAGGCTCTGAGCTGTCAGGCACAGAGCCTGACATGGGGCTCCAACTTACAAGCTGTGAGATCATGACCTGAGCTGAAATCAGGTGCTTAACCATCTGAGCCACCCAGGCACCCTGAGCCTTTTCACTTCTTAAAAACAGTATCTTTACTTCCCAATCACAAAATTCTTCCCACTATGTTTTAATTAATTTTTTTTAGATGCACAGAACCCAATCTGTAGTAAAACTTCAGTATCTGCCAGAAATGGTCAGTCTGAATATAATCACCTAGTTGTCAGAGTAGGAGCTATAATCATATATTTGAGGGGCTGGCATTTTCCACTATTAACCAGTCATAAAGTATATGTATTTCTAAATTTGCTCTTAATTTTTATCTAAGTTATACATGCATATAGTTTAGAGTCATACAGTTTAACAAGTCTTGTTACAAAAACTAAACAAAACCCAGCAGCACTTCCTGCCTTACTGACTGCTTCCCTAAAGGAACATTTCATCTTTTTTGCTGATTATTTTGATCATCGACTTCCATGACTGTATACAATGTGATTTCCATTGCGTGAATTTTTTGGACTTCCCTTAGAAGAAGATGAAGATTTCACTCTCTTTCACCCAATTCCAACCACATTATCACGTGTTTCCTAACAATTTCCTTTGTGTGGTATTACCAACTGCCCTCTCTGTTTATTTGCTTAGTTTTCACCAACTTCACTCTAAACCAGGCCAGTATCTTTGCAGTGTGTTCAAACAAGGTTAGACACTCCCATCAGTTTTATATTCTTCAAAGAGTTGCTATCAGAGCATTCTGACCTGTTAAAGTCTAGGTTTAATATTCTCATCCTGCTGCACAGATATCACCTGGAGCTTTTCCTTCACCTTTGTCTTTGAAAATTCTCTGTACTTCATTCCTGTGACAGGCTTCCTGAACCTCCTGGGAGGTCCTGTGGAGTAAATCAGGTTGCTTCTTACCTTTCCACACTACCTGTTTGGGATTTATTTTCTCAGGACTACTAAATCAGTTATCACTTAATCTGTTTTCCAGTTTCTAAAATGAGGTTTTTATTGCTTACTTCTTGATTTTTCCTGTCCTTGTGGGTTCATGCTTTCTTGGAAAAAATCCTTCTACATTAACTTCAGTGAAGTTAAAAAAAATTTTTTTTAATGTTTATTTATTTTTGAGACACAGAAGGATAGAGCTTGAACTGGGGAGGGTCAGAGAGAGGGAGACACAGAATCTGAAGCAGGCTCCAGGCTTCGAGCTGTCAGCACAGAGCCTGACGCAGGGCTCAAACTCACGGACTGTGAGATCATGACCTGAGCAGAAGTCCGATGCTTAACTGACTGAGCCACCGAGGCACCCCAACTTCAGTGAAGTTTTAAAAGGGAGCAGAATTAAATGCATTAAGTATGCCATCATTAACCAGAAGTCCTGATTAAGCAGACATTTAAAAAGACAAAATGCTAGATAATAGAATCACTATTAATTTAGGAGTTTAGAGAAAATAAATTGCTGTTAATTCTGTCACATTGTAAAAATGAAATGGGGACCAGCATGCCCCTGCGGTGGATTTGAGCTGAGCATCTGTGTCTTAACCATACTTAGAGCGGCAGAACTGCTTAGCAAATTAGCAGAAAAGAAGAGCTGAAAGAAATATAAAATAGAGGAAAAACTTAGAATTTTTTTTTTTTTTGCTAAGAAATCCTGGGTACAAGGCCCTCAGTGCAGCAAGCGTGGTGTAAATGGTTTAGATGACATTTCTCCTTTAAACTGCCTGAGTTGCTTGATGATTTAGAACATCTTTCCATGTTCCTCCAAACCAGTCTGTGTCTGGCCCTCAAGGATCGTAATGACATTCAGATTTTAGGATCGTGTCTCTAAGAATGGAGAAAAACGTTCCAGGGCTCTGTCATATCATCTTGTTCTTTATCTTCTGAAACCTCAGTATAATTGCATCTCCAGAGCATACCCCTCATTCATACTTACCTCTGCAGCATCTAATCCGGGGGGGCTACACATCTCACCTCTGTGGCAGGAGTAGGGAAAGCGGGAAGAGTAATACCAGTGGCAACGCTACCAACTCTCAGTATCACCCACGAAACCAGCACTCCCTCTTTCTCGTGCTCCCTGAGCACCAAGTGTGGAACTGGCTAATAAAAAGTTTGTGTCCGTTATCTCACTTTATCTTCATGGCAACTCTATAAGGAAAGGACTCATCTTATAGATGCCATAACTAAGGCTTAGAGAGTCTGGTAAGCATAGACCCAGGAGTCAACTCAGGCTGTCTTCAGAACCCAGGCTCTTAAGTGCTGTGCCATGCTGGATCAGAGGGAGGGAGACACCCAGACCAGAAGCTGATATCCTGAATATTAAGCAAGAGCTGGGAAAGAGAAAAATCCACGATGCCTGCAAATATCACTGTTGGATTTTAAGAAGAAGACAACAAAATCAAAACCAAAGGGGAACTTCACAGACCCCAAAGCAGCCAAATTGCAAAGATCTCTCCGCTTTGCCCCTTGCGTAGAGTGTTCCATAGAAACTATATTGCTGTTTAAGCAGTAGGACACTTACAAAATGTTTGCTGGAAGTGAGACAGTGTTGGAGCTTCTGGGGCAATGTTGTAGAAGTGAGTTTTTAGCGCTCCGCTCACCAGTAGATTATACGCCAGATCAGTTATATTGATGCCCACAATTGCAAATGAGTACCTGTAAAGCGTAAACCACAAAACCAACTGTGTGTCACATAAGCATTGAAAAATATAACCTAATTTTTAAATGACTTATATCAGATTGGAAGGTTGGCCTTCCCTCTCTATCCTATCTTTACCCTGAATTTCGTAACTTATCAAAATACCAGTAATGTAACCAAGGGAATTAAGAATCCATATGCTTTGATTGGGTAATTTTATTTCTAAATATATAAGAGAAAAAAATCTGAAACTGAGAGCTTTATGCCCAAGGGTACTCATTATAGCATTATTTATAATGGCAAAGACATGGAAGCTACTCACATATTCTAAAAAAGGTGATTGGTGAAATAAGTTGTGGTAATCTCTTATGATATATTACAGCCAATAAATACTGTATTTCTAAAGACTACCTAAGTAGGAAACATTATGTATAAAACAAGCCAGGTTTTATTATATACACACAGATGTGCACAAAAAACAGGCGAGAATGAAATGCCACCAGATATTACTGTGGTATCTTAGAGTAATAAGATTGAGGTGATATTTTTTTTGTTTACTTTCCTATATTTTCTAGATTTTCCATAATGAGTTATATATTACTTTTAAGATGGGGGAGAATTTAAATAAATATCTTAGCACTCAGGGTATATTTCCTAGTTCCGTTTCTACATGGTATCAAAAATTAAATGGAACTGAGTACTTAAGTCTCAGAGTAACACAAACCCATCACATTAAAAAAGGGAGTTCTCCATTCAGCAATATTTTTGAATGCAAAGGGGAATTTAAAAAAAGACTTCTAAAGTAAATTTATATAATCCAATAAATTGATACTTGATAAAAATCCTTAAAACTACCAAGTGCAATCCTAAATGATGGTTTCTGAAAATCATGTGCATATAGTTGTCACTTGGCCAAAGGCGAAAATAGTACCATAGAACCATACAAATAGATCCAAACACATATAGACACATCCTTTTAAAAGTTCACTGGGTTATGTGTTTCCATCAGGACACTCGTCATCTTTGTCGTCCTTTACAGTGTTCTTAGGACATTTTTGTTCCGGTTCTAGTTCCAACTGACAACCTCTATATATGAATGAAATCCCACACTCACCCAATTGCTTTATCCATCCTTTTCTTCTCCCATTCCGCTTTGCTGAATTTGCTGAATAAATGAGTAAAGAAATAAGCTTTAATCTCTACTTGGTCCTTGTTCTCTTGGAATGCTTATACTAAAACTGTTGACTGGATGTCTGTAACTCAGTTATCAAACACTAATCAATTTAAATGTTCTCAATTAAAAATCCACAATATAATTTCTGTAGATCTCAGAAATGGGATTATTTAAAGCCCTGCTACTTATCCCCTATTCCCTTTAGTGCGGCAGTGGGAGAGAGTCCTTAAGGCCAAACATTAAGGGACTTTTTTACGGGATCGTTAATTATCAAACGATACTTTCTCCATGGACCTTTGCCCGGGATGTGTGTCTTCTGACGCTCCCTTGCTCTCTCACGATTCCCCACTGCATCTCCTTTGGTTTTATTTGATGGCATTTATCCTAGTCAGTCTTATTTGTGATGTCTGGCTCACAGTAGATGCCAAATAAATGTTTATTGATTAAAGAAGTAGTGACCTAGTGAAGGGAAGGAAGGCAGTGGGGGGAGGGAAGGATATGTAGGCTTTACAAACTCTGACAAGTGCTATGGCAAGGCCTCTGGCTAACCTAAGGCAGCTAACCTGTAGCAGTTCCACCGTAATCCGTGTTACAATCTGGGCTTCTGGCTAAGACTGTAGAGAGGGCCCTCTCAGATGCATTCTGAAAATCCTGCCTTGCCTTCCCTTAGCTTGTGGACTTGGCGGTCCTCCCTATTCTCCCCCACTCCGTGCCGCCACTGTTTTGTAAGCGGGACCCACGTCCCACTTTCTTTGTGGCTAACGTAATCCTCATTTCACACTCGAAAATGTGGTTAGCCTTTGAACTAAATAACATTTTAAAACTAGAGTTAGGAACATTTAGCTTCTATCTAAGCAGGGTTCTCTAGAATACACTGCAAACACTACACTAAAAGACACACATGTAAGACACACAGTGAAAGACCACAAAAACATGATACAAAGTTGACATTTAACTCTGTGGACTTTCTACTCTGTAAATGACTGGCTGTAATTCAGAGAAACTGCCTTTAATTCATGTTAAAATATGCCACCTCTTTTTTTTTTTTTTAACATTTATTTATTTTTGAGACAGAGAGAGACAGAGCATGAACGGGGGAGGGGCAGAGAGAGAGGGAGACACAGAATCGGAAGCAGGCTCCAGGCTCTGAGCCATCAGCCCAGAGCCTGACGCGGGGCTCGAACTCACGGACTGCGAGATCATGACCTGAGCCGAAGTCGGATGCTCGACCGACTGAGCCACCCAGGCGCCCCTGCCACCTCTTTTTAAAGTGTAACCGCGTACTAACCAATCAACCAACCAGCCAAAAAGGCATGAGGAGATTTTTACTTAAAAGACTCACATCCAACTAAAATGAATTAGGTGTGAAATTTAAGAGACTTTATATAGACAAACTTATAAGCACGTGTTTTCTCTTAACGAAGCTTTATGCACAGTGTCTCTGTGTTAAATGAAATCTCTCTCTGCATTGGAAATATAAGAAAGGCCAAATGCCCTCCACTTACGTGATTACTGAGGATACCCTGGCCCAAACAGAATGAATCCCTTTCTTCAAGAAACACACAACAACAAATAATCAAACAGTCAAAATTCTCCTTGTAAACTTGAATCTACTTATATCCCTCAAGCTACTGTGGGACTCAATAGATGGAGGTTTACAAGGGCAGTGATAACGATGTGTAATGCTTGCTGAAGGATAGACGGGAGAGAGCTTTCCTTAATAGATATTGCTGCTGAATGCCTAATAGATTCAGGGCCTCACACAACCTACATTGCTATCACAAGTCGTCATTATATACCTATTTTTTGACACTGATGAAGGATAGTAGCATTTCCCAAACATTCTGTTTTGTGTTTACTGACATTTACCACCAATTTGAATTGATTAATATTTGAACATCATCTCCTCAATTTTATGATAGCTTAAGGGACAAAAGCACAGTAGCTTTATGTACATGTATACACACACACACACACACACACACACACACACACACACGTCTCTTCTTAAATAAGAGTATTCACACAAACTCTCCAATACATCCTCTCTGCTGGCTGACACAAGAGATAAAACTATATAAAGTCTTTCTTTGAGAATGTCTCACAGATAAAATTCATCACCTTTTAATGATTAATCCAAAAATATTTTAAGCTTCTTGTCACTTCCCAAAGACCATGGAGGATTCATGTGTTTTTTGCTGATGGTCTTTGGGGAATACCTGAGTCTATATGCAGACTCCCCAGACAATTTTAATTAGATGGAGTTCAGGGTCTATACATTACAGAAATATGCAATTCAGACAATATAGTTAAAAAATTAAAATAGCTTGATTTTAACCCTGTGATATATCAGGAAAGAGCTAAGTGATTTTACTGTTTTTCTCAAAGTAAGTAAAAGGTAAAAAAAAAAGAAAATGTAATTTATAAAAAGATTATAAATATTAATCAGAAAGTATAGTGTTATTTAATGAACCTGAGGCAAATGAAGCTAGAATAAGTATAATAGTAAGGTGGTGGGGCAAAGTCAACCTGTTTTTGAATTTTTGAGAATGGTCTGATAAAATTTTGCATTTATTTATTAAATATGAACACGAACAAGCAACTTGGCATGCTGAGGAGAAAGAAGTGATACAAACACATGTCTGCAAAATTTCAGAACTGCTTACATACAGTAAATATATATAATAACTACTGTTTATAAGACTTAAATATTTAATAACGAAATTAGAAATAGAGTACTCGACGAGCAGAATTGCTCTATGCCACAAAACTCCCACGTAAAATGTCCGTCTCGGGGGAGGATATGAGGTCGGAGCACGTGTGGAGATGTGTTCAGCCCTGAGGCAGAGTGTTTGACATGCTTCTGCAACCAGATAGAGCCATGGCCATAGAGGGCTGTTTGAAATTTTCTGTTGGGTTTGTCTACCGTGGTTTTCCTTCAACCCACATATAATGAAGTACATTAGATAAAAAGTTGGGAAATGTTTTTTTTTTTTTGAAAAATTTTTCATGAATTTGTACGGCTGTTAAAATTCTTACTAATACTTATTCTAAAATGAAATAAAAGCAACAAAACACAAAAGCAAACAAAAAATACCTTGTTTCCTCTTTAGTGATATCCCTTCATGTAATCAGTTAAAGAAAAAAAGTTTAGGAAGGTAAATGAAAATGTAAAATATTTAGACTCTAGATTTTTACCAAGAAAACTAAAAAAGCCTCAGCATTCTAGACTTTCTCACTGGGCCCCTGACTTCATGACTCCCACTCTCCCCTCTGTTCCCCCATCATGCTCCCTGGTCTCTGAAATACTGCTTCCAGACTCCTCTCTCTCCTTCTTCCACGCCCGCCTCTAATCCTCTGGGCACCAGCACTGTTATCAGTCCTTTAAATACTTATCTCACTCGCACGGTGCCACTTTCCCTCCTGAATCCCAGGAGGGATTGAGTACCTGCAGGTTTAACCCTCCTATTCAGTATTTGTCCAGAGGGCTCATTGGAAAGAGCTTGAAGCCTCACTTCCGGTGGGGTGACGCTCCTGACAATCTCACCGACCTATCCGTGAAGGAGAAGTTCCTTCTGCCTAATGCGTAAGCCCCGTCCAGCTTTGGTTTTCAGCAATTACCTGCATTTTGGATGAAGAGAGTCGGAGAGGACCTGCTGGGCTGCCGCGGCGTCCCTTTCCGCAAAATACCTGCGGTTGGAGGGAAAGAAAACCACAGCTCTGTTCCTGCCTGATGCACTCATTTTAATCCAGTGTTGGGACGTGCTGCACTCCGAGTTTACCACTTGCTTCAGCTCCTCCAGAGAAGAGACAGCTTTTCATAACAGAATTTCCCAAACATAATGACAGTAGAGTAGGGTAGTCGTAAAACCCACTTAGATTGAGGAATGTATCTGGTAGGTTTGAAATTTGAGTTACGATCATTGCCTTTCCCCAGGGAGCAAAGGATAGTTGTAGTAAGAAGGGTCAGGGACAAGGGGGGCGGAATGAAGCTCCTGGGAAGGCAGAAGTGGCCTGAAGGGAGGGACACGCGGAGGGGCTGCGACGGCCAAGGGGCCGAGAGAGGAAGAGAACAGAGGAGGTGAGAGACCATGTGTTTCAAGTGCATTCTTCTTGGAGGATAGTCACGGGGTATTTGAATTCTGGATGGATGGACAATATCTCCTGGTGCTAAAAGCAAAATTCCGCCCTGGCAATGAAACTTCCTAAAAATACACAAAGTGACGTACCTTCTAAAACGCATCACAGAAAGTACTTCATAATGGCAGTAACAAAATAAAATGCTAGCACATGTTGTTTAATTTCATGTGTACGTATTTCCCACATAAATCGGAAGCCTAAAACAAGCTCTTGAATTTTCTCTCAGAAAAGTTCAAACCACAGTCAGCGTTTTGATAGTTTCATTATTAATGAAATTGAGCCTTTTTTCATACTTTTGTTGGCCATCTACGTTTCCTGTTTTTTTGGTCCAGCATATCTAAAGATGTCTTCAGACAACTAAGTAACCGTACAGATTGGGATCCTCTATCACTTGTGTGAGTGTCGGCCTTGGCTCGTCTTTTCACTTTGCTTATGGTGGCTTATCTTACAGAGGTGTTTCATTTTATTTATTTATTTAAAAAAATTTTAATGGTTATTTATTTTTGAGAGACAGAGAGAGTGTGAGTGGGGGAGGGGCAGAGAGAGAGGGAGACACAGACTCCGAAGCAGGCTCCAGGCTTCGAGCTGTCAGCACAGAGCCTGACACGGGGCTCGAACTTATGAACCATGAGACCATGACCTGAGCCGAAGTCAGATACTTAACCAACGGAGCCACCCAGGCACCTCAGGCTTAGTTTCTTTTAAAAATACATTCCTATCCTCACTAATAGGATGGTAGCAAAGGACAAAGAGCCAACTTAAAAGGACTCCCTTTGGCTTGAAAAATAATGACTACATATGACTTAATTTAAACATGAAAAAATGATGAGCACTATTATTTGAATTATAATAAACATATAAGAACCAGGAATTAAAAATGATACTTAAAAACCAAAGCAAAAAAAAATTTTTTTTGATCACTAACAAGGGAATTAGGGCACCAACTCCTTCCTCACTCTGAACATTGTCAGTTAAATAGAAAAATTGAGCATCTGTCTTGCCTCTATTTTAGAGAAACTAAATAACCATAGTTGATGAAGGAAACAGAGTCTTTACAGAACTCCAGCCAACAACTGTGGGAAGAATCACAGGATTGGAAAAGCACTTTTTACACAGTTAATTAATGGTCCAGTGACTATCAGTGAAAGATGAGATGCTCAGATAAAGGGCTGATGGGGGGGACTTTACAATGGAGACATCAGGCTGTGATTCCTCTGATCCAACTCAGCACAGGCCTTTCCAGATACCAGTTTTCAGGAAATACAGGCCATGGGTACCGGTGCAAACAGAAAATCCAGACCGTGGGACATTTTAGAGGATAGCTGACCTGGAATCTTGCACAAGTTAGTGACCCCGGGGAGGGCCAAAAGGAAAAGGCACATGGGGAGACACATAATAACTAAGTGCGATGTGTATGGATCTCGTATGGAACCAGATTAGGAGAAAACGGCCATAAAAAGACATTTTTGGCTTTTTTGAGAGAGCTGGGAAATATGGACTGGGTACAGATGACACCAAGGAGTCTTTGTTAATATAAGGTGAATACGGGTTTTTTTTAGAGCTGCCTATTGCGATATGAGGGCGAAGTGACAGGTACAGCATTTTCGTTACTATGCTTCTGCCAAAAGAATGAGCATCGCGGGTATTTCAGACCCTGATAATTACTGCACGCGGGCAGCGCAAGGGGTTCTCGAGTCTTCCGTGTGGTTTTGTACATACTTCAACTTTTCGTAAAAGAAAATTAAAGACAAAAACATTTGAGATCCACTTATAAAACACAATAAAGTCTGCCAAAGAAAAGGAAGATGGAAGCACCTCTTCGACGTTTAGGAACCTGAGTTATCTGAGGACGTCAGTGTTTTCTTGGCGTTTTCTGTGTGGTGGCTTTTGGAACTAATAACTTTATCATTTGCACGTGACCACAACATCACTTTTTAAATTTTTTTTTAATGTTTGTTTATTTTTGACAGAGAGAGAGAGAGAGAGACAGGGCATGGGTGGGGGAGGGGCAGAGAGTGAGAGGGAGACACAGAATCTGAAACAGGCTCCAGGCTCTGAGCTGTCAGCACAGAGCCTGACGCGGGGCTTGAACTCACGGACCGCGAGATCATGACCTGAGCCGAAGTCGGACGCTCAACCGACTGAGCCACCCAGGTGCCCCAACATCACTTTTTAATACTTGACCCTTCTCCATTTACTTACTGCAAATTGTATAGGCCCAGAAGTCCCATTCCTCGAAAATCTGTTTTAGGATCATCACCTTGGAAGCCAATTTCACACCATTGCTTAGAAATCCGAGATTCCAGTGGAGTATTAGGCTTCAAGAATTTCCATAACTGGAAGACAAGACAGAAAATTAGCCTGTTGATACAAACACAAATCCTCTTTCCCATTGGCTCAGATTTTGTACTCGGTATCTGAAGAAGGAACTTTACAAAGCTGAATGTATGCAAATATGGTATAGTTAAAGGTTTCACCGTATTTCAGTTATCTGTGGCAGGAGTTCTCAAAGTGGTCTGAAGGCCCCTGGGAGGGACTCCAAGACCTTCTGAAGGCGTCTGGGAAGTAAAGACCATGTCATAATAAAACCAAGAGGTCATTTGCCTTTTCCCTCTCCTATGAGTATATAGTGGAATTTTCCAGAGGCTACATGACACGTGATGATGTCATTACCCTGGTAGTTATGGAATGTGTCCGCCTATATTTTAGCGTTTTCCATCTTTCTGATTTAATTTCTTTTTTTTTTTTTAAAGTGTATTCATTTTTCAGAGAAAGCATGAGTGGGGGAGGGGCAGAGAGAGAGGGAGACACAGAACCCGAAGGAGGCTCCAGGCTCCGAGCTGTCGGCACAGAGCCCGACGCGGGGCTCAAACTCACGAACTGCGAGATCATGACCTGAGCTGAAGTCAGACACTTAACCGACCGAGCGACCCAGACACCCCTCTGATTTAATTTCTAATAAAAAATAAAACTATATAATCTCCCACAAAAGGTCCTCAAAAATATTTAAGAGAGTGAAGGTAAAGGGCAAAAAGGGAAAAATTTGAGGCCATGTATTATTTAAATTATCAGAAAATTGCTATCTAACTCTATAGCAAAATTTTTCGTAGCATTATTAACCAAAAGAAAAGTGGGCTGACTTGAGTTTCATTTCTCACCTATAACAGAGAGGACAGTAAGTCATCTACTAAGTAGATGACATCTAAGTGTCATCTACTGGATGAAGGAAGATCAGTCATGTTCGCGAACAAACCTCAAAATATATGACCATTTTTCAGAGTTACCAAAGGGAATTTTGATTCCAGTTATATATTAATTGACAAATACAAACTTTAAACATTATGCTCTTCTTAAACTGGTTCTATTTTTCTAGGTTTTCTATAGAAAGATAGATTTAGCACATACTATTACTTGAGAAAGAGACCTACAGCTGTATAAATACACAATGCTCACACTATTAGTTCAAATACATAGAGATGGGCACATAAGCAAATTTACTTTTAGACTATTAATAATACTTTATATTTTATCTTTATTATGACAGGGACAAATACAAATGTAAAATTTTCATATTAGTATTTGAGACATAACTTTTTAAAAATGTTTTTTATTTTTTGAGAGAGCATGAGCAGGGGAGGGGCATGGAAAGAGGGTGACAGAGGATCCAAATTGGGCTCTGCACTGACAGACTGACAGCTGATCTGACATGATCTGAGCTGAAGTCAGACACTCAACTGACTGAGCCACCCAGGTACCTCCATAATTCAACTTCGAAATAGTTTTTTCTATGTTATGTGGATTTTAAATCCTATAGAGAACAGTAATACACACGCGGCTTCCTTTATAGTAAATTGTCACATATCTGACACAGTATAGAATGTAATATTCAATGAAGGGAAACACTAACCAAAAAAGATAGAATTCAAGGGATACATTATGTTAGTAGCACAACGGATGGATGCAGTCTGAACTATGAGAGGGGCTCCTGGGCGGCTCAGTGGGTTAAGTGTCTGACTCTTGATTTTGGCTCAGGTCATGATCTCAAGGTTTGTGAGATCCAGCCCCATGTTGGGCTTGGTGCTGAGCCTGGGGGCTGCTTGGGATTTTCTCTCTTTCCCTCACTCTCTGCCCCCCTCCCCGCCAATAAATAAACATATAAAAAATAAATAAAGGTTGAGAGAAAAATTTCAGAGGAAAGAAAGTATATCTATCACCCTTGAAAGCAAAGTAGCAAACATGAGCATAAGAAATTGTCTTATGACACCCAGATGAGAATTTGCCAGTGCTCTGCATTCATCAAGACAGAAAATGTTTGAGTTCAACAAATGAGTACTAAAAAATGAGAGAAAAGGTCTCTTTTTCCTCTAGGAACTGATTTGATTGCTATCACAATGAAAAAAGCAAGAACAAAGGGAAACAGTTTGTAAAGCTCATCACATTCATTTGACTAATAATTTGAAGTAATCTCAGGGCCCTACACAGTTTAAAAATCTCTGGTTTCACTGAGTGAGTAGAGTGAAATGGCAAAAGCAAACATTTCATTTCTATAGGTAGGTTATAAACCTCATTCATTGGGGCAATACTTAGTTTAGGGGAGTAAGAAGTTTGAATAATAAAATCCTTAAAAAAGAAATTCCGGGGTGCCTGAGTGGCTCAGTCGGTTAAGCGTCTGACTTCGGCTCAGGTCACAATCTCACAGTCCTTGAGTTTGAGCCCCGCATCGGGCTCTGTGCTGACAGCTCAGAGCCTGGAGCCTGTTTCGGATTCTGTGTCTCCCTCTCTCTCTGCCCCTCGCCCGTTCATGCTCTGTCTCTCTCTGTCTCAAAAATAAGTAAACGTTAAGAAAATTAAAAAAAAAAAAAAAAGAAATTCCACTTTAATAATTTTATGTATCATGACAGATTGGACTAATGGCTAAAAAGTGTTCTTAATTATGTTCTTAATCCTATCTGCTTTAATAAGGGTCACTTTCTCAGAAAATGAAAAGTCGATTATGCTAAAGTACTTCTATGAAGTGCTACCATGGGTATATTTCCTGTGAGAATACTTGAGCTACTGGATTCTCTTCCGATAGACAGGCAGTTCTCTGAAAAAGTAAGGGTAGGAGGCAGGGTGGCCCTGAAGGATGAGGTCATTTCTGGCATGTTGGGAGCTGACCAGAAATCTGAATGAAGGCAGTGGGCCTCTGATGAGGGGTGCTCTGAGGAACTCAGCGATCCAAACTGTGCTGTTGGGAGTGGAGTTACTACGAAGCCACTTGCCAGGGCAGGAGACCAGAGACAGAGAGGGTGATTCCTGTGCCAGATGACAAGTTGGGTGTGGAAGCTGCACTCTGAGTCACACCGTCTTCCGTCACGGCCCTGGCTCCGCTGAACTCTCTTCTCTTTGCACTGAGCCTTTGACACAAGCTTGTTTCAGCACTTTCTCCTTGTCTTACTTAGGTCTGCTGCAGAAAAGCAAGGCAGGGGTGCTCGCGGCTCAGTTTGTTAAGCGTACAACTCTTGATTGCAGCTCAGGTCATGATCTCACGGTTCATGAGGTCGAGCCCTGCATTGGGCTCTGCACTGACAGCTTGGATAATCCCTCTCTCTCTCTCTCTCAAAATACCTAGACACTTAAAAAAGAAGAGCAAGGACAAGGCCGTTGGTCTGTCCACCCATTCATCCGAGGAGAAGCCGCTTCTCACCAAGGCCACCATGGGATTATCTCTTCCCAGCAAGAGAGGATCTTTCAATTCTAGGCTATATTTTTTTTCTATTAGGTACATGAATCCACATAAAAATTTCCCTTTATTATTTATGTGGTTTAGCAAATGTTTAATAGAAATGTCCATTTGAATAGCTCATATGGACAGTGCTGTGTGAACATAAGGTGATGTTTTTCATTTTTGTCTCAGCCAATGTTTAAATGATCCTAAAATCCGGATTTTTTTATACTTTAAGACTCTGAGTATAAGCACTGATGATGGTCTCCCACGTTTATAAGTCAGAGCACTTAAACAATATGGCTAATATATTACCAGAGCTTCTAAATCAGAGGTTGGCAAACTTTGTCTGTAAAGGGCCAGATATTAAATATTTTAGGCTTTGGTGGCCATATGGTCACTCTCCAATTACTTCACTTTGCCACTGTCGTACAGAAGCAGCCACAGACCATACATACATCAAGGAGTGGACATGTTCCAACAAAACTTTATTTACAAAGAAGGGTGGCAGCCACATTTGGCCCATAGGCTTTAGTTTGCTGACTCTTGCCCTAAAAGTTTTATGGAGTAGGTAACAAGGGTATTGTCCATTTTAAAGATAAAGACGCCAATATCAGGTAGTTAAACACAAACCATGGGCCAGCCTCTGGAAATACAAATGGGAAGAAGACATGGGTCCTCCGTTGAGAGGCAGCGTGGAGCCCTTCCTTACCACGTGAGCTTGCGCAGCACTTAACTGCCCAGCCTCATTTTCCTCATCTGAAAATGGGGATAATGGCAGTGTCTCACCACGAGGTTATTGTGACCGTCAAATGAAATGATGTTGTAAAACATTTACTGTAAAGGTTAACATGTGCTAAACATTCACTGAATGTTTTATGATTACTGTTTTTATTATCATACTTGGAATGTGAATAAACCGGAGAAGAGAATAAAGATCCCACTCCGAGGTGTTCCTGGGGAGACTGGAGAAGATTTCAAAATTGAACGAATAAGGATTTCTAAAAAGAGCTGGCTTTTGTGGTGAGAATAGGTAATAGGTAATTGGAGAAATAGGTTGGAAAGGGTCCCGAATGCCACGTTAAGAAGCATGGGATTTATTCTGGCAGACACAGGAAGCTGAAGTTTTTAACCTAGGGGATCACATGACTAGACAATCCCTCCAGCAGTATTTTAGAAGACGGAAGGGAGGAGGCTAACACTTAGTGGCAGAATTAAAAGGCTACTGTAACAACCCAAGCTGGAGATGATGCTAGAATAAGCTGGTGGGCATGGAAAACATTTAAGAGATATTTTGAGGGATCTGTCTGGATAGGGTTTAGTGATTTTTTGTAGATGCATAGTATGTCCCAAGTTCGCTTGCAAGCCACTTAAGCGTAAAAAAGATGCCTTTCCTCAAAGTGCCTGGCACAATAGTGGACAGTCCTTGTTTGTAACTTACTGGCTGTGTGGATCAGAGTCTGGACTGAAATGCTTGTAGTCTGCTCAGCTGCAAAGTTACAAACCATCACCTTACCTCTTACAGCTGTGACAATAAAAGATAACATTTACAAAATCAAATCATGACCAGAGATGAAAGGTACATCATAAAAGTTCTTGACTTTTAGTATCCAATGAACCACAGTGATTCATGCATTCACCTGTATTTGTTGAAAACCTGCTATGTGCCAGCACACACACGCTACGGATCAGCTAAGACAGTATAGCAGGCACACACACAACGGATCAGCTAACACAGAGCACCGCAGGCACCCAAATGTCTGAATCTGAAGGCATCACGGCACTCTAAGGAAGCCTTCAGCTGCTTGTGGCCACTCTGTTAATTCCACCGTCTTGTTTCTCTTTCATTCACCTCTTGTTTCTCGCCTTGAAGTCATTTTAATTGAACTTGACTACTTCGATCGGAACATAGAATGAAAAAGGCAATAAAAGGAAATGAAGTTTATTTAGCCCAGTAGGTTAGGTAAATTTAAGCTGAGCAGAAATGGAAGAAGAAAACTACTCAGAAGAATGAAGCTTCTTTTAGCTTTAGGGATTCACATCAGATACAGCACAAATTAGCAGAGACCAGTGAGTCATCTGCTTACGTATTTCTATACACAAAAACACGGCAGGACACATTCTTAAAATTACAGCTCCTAGTGACCCTTTTCAATAAAATAAAGTTAAGGCAGCTAACCAAATGTTTTCTTCCAATTTTGTTAGTGTCTTTTTGTATCCTAGCAAAGACAAGGAAGCACTCCATCTTAAAAAGCATCTGTTTTCAGAAGTGAATTGAGAAAATATTTTAGATGAATAGTTCTGAAGGTTGGTCTTAATTTCTTAAGCTCCAGATTCAGTGTTGAGGTCAAGTTTTATTGATATTTCATAACGCACCGTCAGATCATATGAGATTTTTAAGTTTTTACTTGGACAGCCAGAACTGTATATTGTTCTTTTTTTTTTTTAATTTTTTTTTTTAACATTTATTTATTTTTGAGACAGAGAGAGACAGAGCATGAACGGGGGAGGGTCAGAGAGAGAGGGAGACACAGAATCTGAAACAGGCTCCAGGCTCTGAGCAGTCAGCACAGAGCCTGACGCGGGGCTCGAACCCACGGACAGTGAGATCGTGACCTGAGCCGAAGTCGGACGCTTAACTGACTGAGCCACCCAGGCGCCCCTGTATATTGTTCTTCTAACAGTTTTAATAAACCAGGTATAAACCTTAACCTCCTCTTCTAATATTCTCCGAGCTACATGAATAAATAATCAGCAATAAGATCTTAGGTAATTTCCCAGGAGGGCTATTGCCAAAGCAGAAACCAACTTCATCTTCTTTGATGTCTATTAAAAGTCATAAATGGAAATCCCAGGTCACTCTTGGACAAGTGCTATTTCTCCTCCTGGCTTTCAGTACAGCTAAACAGCCTAAACGTGAGCCAGGTACAAGAGCTCAGAGAAATCACCTGAGATGCTCTCAGATTACCAAAAAAAAAAAAAAAAAGGACTTTACATTTAACTTCTCCCATGAGTTTTCTCGGGAAGAATTTACCTCCCACATCTGAACCAGCAAGAAAAGTAGGCTTTACCAACCAGGCACGGTGCCCACGTCTTAGTCATCTTTGTACCCTCCCCGTCTGAGCAGCGTCTAGCACTTGGCAGGTGCTTGGTGGACATCAGCTGACCTAAGTGAAGGACTGAAATACGTTCGAGGTCTAACCTTCAACAGCATTTCTTCATGTTGGGGGTTATCAGAATCATACGGTTCTCTGCGCAGTTTTTCCACATCTGCAATAAGGTTTCTGTAGCCAACAATTTGCAGGAGGCAAGCCTGAAGAGAGATTCCCAGCCTAAGGTGTTCAAAAACAGAAGAAACACACGTGAGGAAAAACGAAACAGATATTGTAGCATTTGTTCACTGGTTGTGTGCATAATAGGACTTTTCATAATATAAAATGGAGGAAATTTTCACATGGGATGTATTTATTCATTTAGTTATTTTCTTCACCTTTTTGTTTAAATTTTAGTTAGTTAGCATACAGTGCAGCATTGGTTTCAGGAGTAGAATCCAGTGACTCATCCCTTATATACAACACCCGGTGCTCATCAAAACAAGTGTCCTCCTCAGTGCCCATCACCCATCTAGCCCATCCCCCACCCACCTCCCTCCATGAACCCTCAGTCACATGGGATGTATTTAATTGAAGCCCAGTTTTTCTTTCTTTCCTTCTCTCTCCTCCCTCCCTTCCTTCCTCCCTTCCTCCCTTCCTGCCTTTTTCTTTTCCTTTCCTTTCCTTTCCTTTCCTTTCCTTTCCTTTCCTTTCCTT